ATAGACAAGCTGGTAGAGGCCGCCTCAGGGAATGAGAGGTTAAGCCTCTTGGATGCTTACTCGGGGTATCATTAAGTCCGCATGGCACCCGAGGACGAGGTGAAAACCTCATTTTATGCCGGAGATGAAATATACTGCTATGTGATGATGCCGTTTGGGCTCAAGAATGCAGGGGCAACATACCAGAAAATGGTCACAATCGTGTTCTGGGCTCAAATTGGCAGGAACCTGGAGGTCTATGTAGATGACATTGTTGTCAAAAGTTCTCGAGCAGAAGACCACTTGATCGACCTAGCCGAGACGTTCAACAACCTTAGAAGGTGCAACATGAAGTTGAACCCAGCAAAGTGCACCTTCGGCGTTGAATCAGGCAAGTTTCTGGGTTTCATGGTTTCCAGAAGGGGGATAGAGGTCAACCCTGAGAAAATAAAGGCAATTGAGGAAATGAAACCGCCGAGGTCAACCAAGGACGTGCAACGCCTGGCAGGGAGAGTAGCAGCACTGCACAGATTTATCTCCAAATCAGCGGATAAGTGTTTGCCTTTCTTTAAGGTCTTGAGAACTGCAGCTCAGAAGAATGAAACGGGAAAACCCCAGAAGTTCAACTGGACGACGGAGTGCCAGGTGGCTTTTGACGAGCTCAAAGCCTACCTCGGTTCGCCTCCTCTGCTGACTAAGGCTCAGGAAGGTGAAATCCTTTATCTCTACCTCGGAATATTTGATACTGCTGTCAGTTCTGTCTTGGTCAAGGAAACGGGGAAACAACAGCAACCAGTATACTATGCCAGTAAGGTGCTGCAGGGGGCTGAGCAGAGGTACTCGATAGCAGAGAAGGCAGCCCTAACAGTTGTTGTTACTGCAAGGAAGTTGAGACCATATTTCCAATCCCATCCTATTATTGTGATGACTGATCAGCCTTTAAGACAAATTTTGCAAAAACCAGAATGCTCCGGGAGGCTCATCAAATGGGCAGTAGAGCTGGGAGAGTTTCAGATAGCATTCCAGCAGAGGTCGACAATCCGAGCTCAAGCCTTGGCAGATTTCGTGGTCGAATGCACTTCTAATCAGGTGGAGCCGAATTCTGAGGCAGAAACATGGACCCTGTATGTCGATGGATCATCTAATAACAAGGGTTCAGGAGCTGGAGCAGTGTTAACTGGACCTGACGGCTTCCGGAGTGAACACGCTTTGAAGTTCAACTTCCAGGCCACAAACAACGTGGCCGAGTATGAAGCCTTCCTCCTGGGACTACGTCTGGCGGCCGAGCTCAAAGTCAAACGCCTGCAGGTTTACAGTGACTCACAGCTGGTAGTTAACCAAATCAATTCTATGTGCGAAGTCATCGATCCCATCCTGGCGAGATATGTGGTCGCAGTCTCCGAGCTGAAAAACCGTTTCGAAAAATTCCAACTTACCAAAATTCCGAGAGCAGAAAATGAGCATGCGGATTCCTTGTCGAAATTGGCATCTGAGAACTCTGGGGAAGCAAAGTCTGTGTACATCGAGATACTGAATGAACCAAGCTTTCAGACGTCGGGGATAATGGAGATTAGCACTGACCTAGGTGCTCCGAGTTGGACAGACCCCATCCGGGAGTACCTCCTCAATGGCACCGTCCCGGGGAACAAACAGGAAGAGATGAAGTTACGAAGAAAAGCCTCTCGGTATACCCTGGTTGGCGACATCCTGTACAAGAGGTCCTACTCGTTACCACTCCTCAGATGCCTGACACCATATGAAGCAGAGTATGCACTAAGAGAAGTACACGAGGGGGTATGCGGTAATCACGTGGGAGCCCGGACTGTGGCACATAAGGTACTCCGGCAAGGGTACTATTGGCCTAACATGCAAGAAGACGCAAAGAAGTTCGTGCAGAGGTGTCAGAAATGCCAGTTCTTCGCCCATCTCACCCATCAGCCAGCCGAAGAACTCACCAGCCTGACTGCACCATGGCCCTTTGCTCAATGGGGAATAGACCTTCTGGGCCCCTTCGTCAAAGCAGTAGGAGGAGCAACGCATTTGGTGGTCGCTGTTGATTACTTTACCAAATGGGTAGAAGCCAGACCTCTCTCTTGTCTGACTTCGAGAAGAATTGAGGATTTCCTCTTCAGCTCGGTCATCTGCAGATATGGG